AGCGACACAGCGGTATGTCTGTGGACTTATAACGCTAGAAACCGGGTTTTGATACCCGCGGTGGGCAGAGCAGAGATAGCCTATTATGTAGCTATGTGCTTGTCTTCAAATAAACAAAACAAGAGAAATCTATTAACGTATTAATAATAACTAGACACAATATCTCTTACACGATTTAGCTTTGGACATCTTTCAATTGAAAAGATATGTACACCAGGAGAAATTGGGTTATAGTGGTGTTTAAGATATTTAAGCCTGTAGGTAACATTATATATATATATATGTGTTTGTTTGTTTTTGTTTTTGAATTTTCGCGCAAAGCTACACGAGGGCTATCTTCGCTAGCCGTCACTAATTTAGCAGTGTAAGACTAGAGGGAAGGCAGCTCGTCATCACCACCCACCTCCAACTTTTGGGCTACTCTTTTGCTAACAAATACTGGGATTGACCGTCACTTATAACGCCCCCACGGCTGAAAGGGCGAGCATGTTTAGTGGACCGGGGATTCGAACCCGCGACCCGCAGATTGCGAGTTGAGCTCCCTAACCACCTGGCCATGCCAGGCTATATATATGTGAAAGTTAACAATAAAATAATATTATCTTAATAATTTTAATTACTTAGTTTGGGGTTATATTCCTATTTATTCTGTTTAAAATATTTCCAGAATTTGGGAGTTAAAGGTGATGGACGTTTTTTTATACAAGCTTTTTATTCTATTTTCTAAACCACTTTGGGTTTTGATAGAAGGCTCGGACGACAAAGGCTCCGCATAATTTCCTATACAGGAATGTAGCGTTATGATATCCTTTCGTTATGTCTAATAATAATACTATTAGTTATTATGTTCCCAAAAAGCTGTTTTAAGTATATATGCGTCATAAATGCCTTTTCCATCTTTAGCATGACATTATATTATTGAATTCTAGATATTCAGCTGTAATGTACGATAGATGTTATATCTAATATTTAAAAGTAACTAGTCTAAAATACTAACGTAAAGTCTTGAAGTATTTTTTTTATGATTATATACTTAAAAGATTAACATTTATATGAGCTATTGTTACTTGGGTATTTATAATACTGTCTTAAGAAACGGGTTAATTGTATAATTATAATGGAAGGTCGAGAATGAGAAACAATCATAACGCGGTCCTGTTAGGGATATTCCTGTAAGAGAAATTTCGCGATACCTTTCTCGTCCGAGTTGATAAAGCTAAGAGTGATTCAAAATGGAACTTTGCTTTTTCTTATTTTGTTCTACATTACCTTGATTACATTCTGCATTTGTTTAACCGAACATCTGACCCATTTTTATATCTATTTAATATTAAGATAAATACAGCACTGAAAAAACCCATCACGACAACTAACGCCAGGACACTTGGTGAATTTTCAATATTGTCGATTTTCGGTTTAAACTTTTGTCAAAGGCACCTTACTTCACAATCGGTCTACAAAGGTTTAATCCAGTAGATTTTAGAGTACACCATTGATAACCGTATCTGTGATAAGATTTACTTGATAAAAAGGTAATATTAGCTGTTGTTTTAGTGCAAAGATACACAATGAGCTATCTACGCTCCCCCATTGTAGATAATCGAACCTCCGATTTTCCTGCTCTAAGTTCGTAAGCAACACAATTCTTCGTTATTTTCAGAAACAATTGTGTTAATACTACAGTATGCTACAAACTTTAAAATAAAAATAAAAGACTTAGTGCTAGATGTTTTTAATAAACTGCCATAAATAGTTACTAGGATATTATACTTTAAACTAACTTTGAAAAAAAAAATGTTGATCAGTAATAACAAAATGGATCACTAATGCTTGTATGCACTCTGGTAGCTTAACGGTAAGTTTGAAAGCTTATATCTCTAAAACCCGGGTTTCAATACCAGTGGTGGACAGAGTACAGATAGCTCGTTGTGTAGCTTTGATCTTAAGAACAAACAAGCAAGTTATTGGAAATAAAAAAAAATATATGTAGTTTATTTCTGCATTTTATTTTCAATAATTTCTTGTCTATTGACTCGAATTAACATTGGCCTTTACTTAACATATTTATATTCCGAAATTAGAAAAATAAATGAATAAATAAAACGGAATGAATGACTTAGGAATTGTACAAATTACAACAACAACAGTAAAAGAAACATGTAAATAAACTGGAGATGTAAGTTTATTTCTAAGTTTCTGTCATGATAAACGTATCCTCTGAGGACAATATGCATCCCACATTTGTGTTGTCAGATAGCAACTAAGTTAGGTAATCCATCAAAATCAATCAAACCCTAAGGTTTTGTTTTCAAGAACCACTTTCTATTAAACTGGCTTTACTTACTTCATTGCTTATGAAATTTCCAGGACAATTGGTCGTATAGATCTTTCATGATACAAATATAACCACAACTTTATCACCCTTTTAATCTATATTACCAGGCAGGTTGAACTTTGCATATTATATTTCTATGAAGAGATAACTTACTCGCTGTTCTTTTTCTTGACAGGTTTTCTTCAAGAAATTGATTGGAGATGTCACTTCTGGACAACTTTCTATATTCTTTACGATGATTGCTCTTTTAAACCTCTTGGCTATGTGGCCGATTTTCATCTTTCTTCATCTGACGCATATTGAAACTATAAATTGGAGTCAGTTACCGTGGGTGCCACTAGTCTCAGCTGCAATATTATCTTTAGGTAACGAGAAAATTTTTTAAAAAATCATTAATAAGTGCTCGTTTAAGTTAATCTTCACAAATGTGGCGCCATCTGTACTATCCGGTTCAATGATGTTTTAAATTTCTCCTAAGTTATTGAAAACTGCCTAATGTGCACTTATTGATAAACAACGAAACTATTTGTCCTCTTTACAATGGTTTCTATCAAAATGATCTCGAAACCTTTTCATTCAAGAATCTCCTTTTTTGTGAGAGTTGACAGTTAAGATTCCCTTTTTGTCAAGTAACTAAAATTCAAATACCATTTTAAAATAATACGCTAATTCAATTTTACACAATATAGTTTATTTTTCGTGCGGTCGAAAAACTTCAAATACTTCATTACAAACATGTACAATGTTAAAAGAAATGGGTTCTCAGTAGCCCGCCAAATAAGGAAAAAGATGAAGAAACTCTCTTTCACGACATCCGCCTCCCTCTTGGAGCTCCCTTGAAAACTTTCTTGGAGTTACATTGCTACCTATAGTTTGAGAGAATATGCTTCATTTACTTTATTAGGCACATTTTGAAGTTGTTTTACAGCTCCCTTGAAAACTTTCTTGGAGTTACGTTGCTCCCTATTCTCTCAAACTATAGGTAGCAACGTAACTCCAAGAAAGGTTCAAGGAAGCTGTTAAAACACATCAAAACGTGCCTAATAAAGTAAATATAGCAGATTCTCTCAAACTACAGGTAGCAATGTAACTCCAAGAAAGGTTCTAGGGAGCTGTTAAAACACATCAAAATGTGTCTAATAAGGTAAATAAAGCAGATTCTCTCAAACTACCTGCTTTATTTACTTTATTAGGCACGTTTTGATGTGTTTTAACAGCTCCCTTGAACCTTTCTTGGAGTAACGTTGCTACCTATAGTTTGAGAGAACCTGCTTTATTTACTTTATTAGGCACGTTTTTATGTGTTTTAACGTGGTTTAGTTAGTTAGCTAACGTTAACTAGTATTACACACCCATTTTTTTTACTCTTTTTAGCAATTATTGCTAATTAATATAAAACCGTAATTATTATCTATCCATATCTCAATCAATGATGATTTATATTTTTGTAATTAAGGATAGTTAGTGTCAAAACATATACTGATTGTGGAGTGTAAGAGTAATTATACTATGTAATATGTCTTTAACCGCTGTTTTTGTTCTTTTCAATTAACTGGTTAATAATAATTAATTGATGTAAATTATTAAATAAAAGTCGAAACTGTTAAAGTTTAAACACATTTTGTTGGGAATTAATAGTTTTCATTTCTGGGTTCATATCTAAAAAAAAAAGAGAATAACATTTACTTTTTCTTCGAGAGTCAGTTCGTGTCATGAGTACAATTAAGGTCTATTTATGTCTTTGCAGTAATCAACTTAATAGGAAATTTTGGATTAGTATGCACATATCAAGTGTTTCTTTCATTTGGTCTCATCCTCGCGGTACCAGCCTCATCAGGTAAGTGGTTACAGATTCGTAATAAAAATGATAGGCTGACCCAAGAACATTCAAATTTGAAATTTATCAAAATTAAAGCAAAATATGATTAAAGATATCAAATAAAACATTAATTTATAATCAGAATAATAAAAACAAAAATACTGTTGTTTTTTACGTTTACGTAACTTACTCATTACACGTAACGTTCATGCTTAGTACTCTTCTTTAGAATTACAAACGGCGGATGGTTTGTTTTATTCTGAATGTTATACACTTCTAAAACACGTGGGCCCGGCATGGCCAGGTGGCTAAGACGCTCGTCTCGCAATCTGAAGGTCGCGGGTTCGAATCCCCGTCACACCAAACATGCTCGCCCTTTCAGCCGTGGGGGCGTTATAATGTGACGATCAATCCCACTATTCGTTGGTAAAAGAGTAGCCCAAGAGTTGGCAGTGGGTGGTTGATGACTAGCTGCCTTCCCTCTAGTCTTACACTGCTAAATTAGGAACGGCTAGCGCAGATAGCCCTCGTGTAGCTTTGCGCGAAATTCAAAAACAAACAAACAAACACTCTAAAACACGTCTACAAAATATCCTTCACTAGCTTTGACTACTCTAAATTCTAGATCCACATGAAGTTTTCCAGAAAATCTCAAAATTGTAAGTACCCAAACTTTGTCCAGCAATATCAAAAAATTGGCACAAGAATTATTTTTAGGGGTATGAATACGAAGAAGAAAGTGGAGTGTGTACATTTTTGCAAAGTTTGATTGCTAAGAAATGTAAAATATGCTTTAAAACTACTTTTAAAGTAACCCGCATTTCGCTTTCATTCGTCACTCCAAAACGTAAACACACCAAGTGCAGTAGCGAACACTGGATTAAGTGCTTGAAAGGCGAGTCCCTATCGACTACAGCTAACGATTCCTTACTTAATCTGTCGCAAATTGTATGGTATATACAAATCCTAGCGCTAGCGACAAGAAGCTTTGTGAACAATCAGTTAGATTTGTTTGTAATCAAGCCCAAAACTAC